GTTGCCATCGAAGGATGTCAGAAGCCCTCTAGCCCCAGAGTAAAGACGTGAGTACATCCTCACTTCCGGCCCGGAAACTATCCCAACCGACACCACGGTACTATAATTGCCCGAGAATTTGCGATGCGGATACTTTAGACATAAATAGATAGGACGAACGATGACCTCGCAGGAGCCTCCGCATGGGTGTGAGGCATATTTGAACGTTGATCAAAAGTGGAAGGTAATCTCGTTCTTTCATGGGCTGCTTCCATGTCCCAAGGTCAGTTCAAAAGCCGTAGGTGTTGTCAACCGATTGACCACTCAAGATAAGGTAGCCAAGAGACATTCAGAAGCCATGATCACGACCAGGGCAACTGTCACAAGTCAGCGCAAACGAGCGAACAACTCTGATTGGATCAAAGCATGCACCAAATTCAATATTGTAACCTCATGAAAATCCCATAACGTGGTTCAAGTGTTCTCCAAGCCATCAGTCATTTTCTGCACGATTTGACGAACCCATCTAATCCGCCAAGACCCCTCCAAGGAGTCAAAAAAAGCTCTCAACTAAGCTTTCCCTCCCTCCCCATAATCATTTCTTAAAATAGACCTCTACCTTGTGCCTTTGTCGGACTAGGCAAGTAATCAAGAATCATCACCGCCTTTCTCTCTCCATCTATCTCTATGTTTCCCACAGCTCCTGGCCCTGCTCGTCGGCAGTCTTGCAGAAAGGTGTTGATCGAAAAGGAACCACCCCCCTGTCAACGAAATTCTGGTGCCTAGAGCCTAACTGCAAAAGAAGCAACCTAAACCCGCAAAGCTAGTATGCCCGTACCCGCTCCGAATTGGCTATTAGACCTGCATGTAATAGGCTAGTGAGACTACCGCAGTAAAACTAGCTCAGTAATACTGGTCAGGGGGGGAGTGTTTGGAAAGAAGTCGGGTCCTGATTCACCAAGCATCTCACATCAGCCCCAAAATTCTTAGTTTTCTGATGTGCTTCTTCTTTCTATGGGACGAACCCCATCTCGCACCCGTGTGTGTGAGGTGGGGCCGTTGCAGCCCACGATCTGGGCTGCTGGGCCCCCTTGTCGCAGATTTGCGGTAATGAGCGTGGTTTGGGCGATTATTCATACACATGCAGGAGAGAAATAAGAACTACGGATACATGGCACAGGGGGGGGTCGCGTGTTAGTGCGACTTGGACAGAAATCTCAGGATACGGAATTTCGCACGGGATAGTTTGATGACGATGAGCGGCACCAGCGCAGGACGAAGAATTCCCTGGGCCGTGGGCGCGCGATCCTAAATCGCCTCTTTAAAGACCCGATCATGTCCCAACCATCGGAGACTCAATGACCTGAAAAGACAGAGGCACCGTCTACCCACTCCTTCGAGGACCTTTCCCCCCCCTCCTCACAAAGCAAGAAGCTTCTCCAGATCACATCGCATCATGAAGCTGCTCACCCTCCTCGCCCTCCTGGGCCTCGGGGCCGCCCACCCGCACCAGCAGCACCCCCACGATGCGCATGCCGCCGCCGCCGCCGTCGTCCTGGACTCGAGACAACAGACGTGTTCCGGCCCCGTAGAGAGTAACCCCTCCACCTGGTGGCGCGCCGCCATCGGCCACAACGGCACGGCGCCTACGAGCACGGACTCGACGTACCAGTACTACCGGACGGCGGTCCAGTACGGCGCCGATAACACGGGCATCCAGGACTCGTCTGATGCCTTTAACTTTGCCATTGAAGGTAAGATACTACCTGGCCTTTTCTTTAACTCATGCTTCGATATATACATACTCCAACTCATCTGAGGGGAAAAGATATTGTTGAAATCATGTAACTGACAAAAAACCGTACAAACAGCATGGAGCCGCACAGGTAACACGGTAACAACCCGCCCAGCCTACATCTACGTCCCGCCCGGCCGGTACCGCATCAAGAAGCCGATCCAGATGCTCGTGACGACTTACCTCGTCGGCGACGCCCTCAACCCGCCCGTGCTCATCGCCGATCCGGCGCTCGGCGAGCAACCCGTGATCAACGGGTATGACTCCCACCAGGGCGACGGGTCCGCGACAAAGAATTTCTACATGGCGGTGCGGAACTTGGTGATTGACACCACCGAGATTGGCACCGGCGTCGCGGCCGTCGGGATGGACTGGAGCGTGTCGCAGGGGTGCTCGTTGACGAATGTCAAAGTGCGCATGCCGAATTTCTCGAGCCATGTTGGTGTTACTATGGCGCAGGGCGGTTCTGGAATCTTGATCAGCGATTGTGTAAGTCTCTCTCGCCTTTTCTCCGTCTTCCTTTCTCTCTTTTGGTTGTGAACAGCCTTTCCCCGGCTTGAAATGCATCGAGGAAGCCCTCGAGTTTTCCGAAGAAACTAACAGTGCGCCCAGCAATTCGAAGGCGGCGCCATCGGCATCAAAGTCAACGGCCAGCAATACCAATTTAAGAACCTCTCCTTCAACGGCTGCAACGTCGGCATCTCCGTCGACCACGTCTGGGTCGCCGTCGTCCAGGGCGCCACCTTCGCAAACTGCAACTTTGGCATCGACATGGGCCGCAACACGGCGGGCATGGTCTCCGTCGTCGATTCCAGGGTAGAATCCTCCTGCAACGCCGGCGTCAACAACCTCGTGACGGGCTACGGCCAGAATTCTCTGGTCCTCGACAACTTCCAGGTTGGCGGCGAGAGCACCGCGGCCGTCAAGTCTGCGAGCGATGGATCGACGCTACGCAAGGACTCTGTGACGGCCGGGCAGACGTGGGTCATGGGGTACGTCAACTCGAATAACCTGCAAAAGGGAACCGTGTACCCCATTGACCGGCCCGCCGCGCTGGTTTCCGGGGATAAGTACTTTACCGCGCCGCTGCCGCAGTATGAGAAGTATGCGCTGGATCAGTTTGTGAGTTTGAAGGGCGATGCGCAGTACCCCGTGTACGGTGACAACAGCCACAATGACGGGCCGAGCATCAACGCCATCTTGCAAAAATACAAGGGGTGCAAGATCATCTTTGTGCCGCAGGGCATCTACCGCACCGAGGAGACGATCTATGTGCCCCCCGGAACAAGACTGGTCGGTGAGACGCTCAGCATCATCAACGGTAGGTCATGTCTGAACCACTAGAGTCCCGTGAAACCGGTTACTGACTTGAGAATAGGCATCGGATCAAATTTTTGGAACCCGGACGACCCTCAGCCCATCCTCAGGGTCGGCAACCCCGGCGAGACGGGCGTCGCCCAAATCACCGACATCACGGTCGAGGTAGCCGACGTCCTCCAGGGCGCGACCCTAGTCCAGATCAACATGGCCGGCGCGCGGCCCGGCGACGTCGGTATCTGGAGCAGCGTCTTCCGCGTCGGCGGCACGAAGCACTCGCTCACCAACACGAACTGCGGCGGCGCGGACCCGGGCGCGTGCAAGGCCGCCTTTGCGCTCATGCACGTCACCTCCACGGCGAGTGCGTACCTCGAGAACGTGTGGGGCTGGGTGGCGGACCACTCGCTCGACGGCGGCGCCGCGCAGAACATTGCCGTCGGCAGGGGCGCGCTCATCGAGAGCACCAAGCCCACGTGGCTGGTGGGAACGAGCTTCGAGCACTGCGTCTTGTATCAGTATAACCTCCACAACGCGCAGAATGTGTACATCAGCTTGGAGCAGACGGAGTCTGCGTATTGGCAGGGTGAGGGGACTCCCCAGAGAGCACCCAGCCCGTGGTCGTAAGTCAACCCCCGCCACAATCCATGGCTTCATGCTCTTGGTCCGAAATGTGTCAATACTCTGGATGGCTAATTCTCTTCGGCCACAGCGTAAAACCAGCTTTCGGTGACCCGGATTTCAGCAACTGCGCAGCCCAGGGACAAGGCAACAACGACCGATGCCACCGATCGTGGGGCCACTACATGACGGGCAGCTCCAAGGTGGTGATCCACGGCTCCGCGCTGTGGGTGTTCTTCAACAAGATGAACGACAACCAGTGGCAGAACGCGCAGTGCGAGAACACGGGCGGCAACTGCATGACCAACCAGGCTTACGCTGACGGCGCCAAGTCGACGTACTGGTTCGGCCTGAGCACCAAGAGCACCACCGCGCTGCTGTACGACAAGACTGGGGGCGTCATCTGGGAGGTGTTTGCGAGCGATAACACTGGTGGATGGGGAGGCGTCCTTGCCGCGTATCTTCGGGATACGGCAGCTTGAAAGCCTAGGGAAGGCTGAGTGGCGTCTTGTGGTATAATTGAGACTTCGTGTAAATATTGGGGGGAGGATGTAGATTTGGAATTCAAGATCCAAGGAAAGATGCCCAGCGGCAAAAGTTCTTGCGTATGTGGGAACTCAACTGCGCCTAAAGTGGACGTAGAAAAGGACTGTGATAAGTGTCAATAAATGATGGCCACGATATGTCCAATGCTCATCGACTTGCCATTGAGATATCGGGGACAGTATATACGATCGCAGGTCAGACGACTTAGTAGAGCAGGTTTTTGCTGGGCGCACATCGTCCGCTGCAGCTCGAGGTCACTCATCAAGCAGACAAGATTTAACAGGAGGACGGCTTGACAGTGCGTCTCTCCCCACATCAATCGTCTTGTTCATCCAAGTGGACTTCGCAGTGCGTTCCGATCCAACTGGTGGACTCGGCAACCGTTGCGAACATGTCAGGTCAACATACACGTTGCGGAGAAAGATGTTGGACAAGTCAACGGGATGTTGAGGATGATTCGCCGCGGCCTTGTCAGCTGTAGTATGTTCGGCCGCTAGCGTGGCTTTGACTTGAACATTAATGGCAAATGCGGTTTAGCCAACGTATCTGCATCGGGAGGTAATAGTATTGACGGCTCTTCCTGGAGTTCAGACAGGGGTTCGCATGTTGTGGCACCAATGGGCGGAGGAGGCACGTTTCGACGCAGGACCTTGGTAGCATATCCGCACAAACAGTACTCAAAGCCGGGGTCGGACGAACTGCCAAACTCCCGAAACGTTGATCAACCCGTGCCGTACGAGGTCTTTCAGCCTCTTTCGATGGTGGTTTCGAGCCGAGGTCCCCTTCTGTGCCTGGATCTTGATGTGTGCCTGGGGCTTTTGTTCTCATGCACACTACATGACAGCTCACCGCACTCGGACTCGTTCTCGTGGGTGCTGCCCCAATCCGGAGCAAGGGCTTCTGGGGTGTTACCCCAATTTGACTTCCCTCGGCTGCTGCCAGATTGAAGAGAAGCTTGGGACGAATGTTGGGGATCTGCAGCATCTGACTGGCCATCAACGAGAGAGGTCGCAATCAGAGATCGTGGCGAACCATCAGGGAAGCAAAGCATGAATTGAGTCCGAATGCGGAAAGCGATTCGGGTATTGTAAGGTCGTCTGAAGCTTGTTTCGGGGAGAAATGAACCATAGAGTCGGGATGTCTTGCATTGTTATGTATGTGCCGTCTTGTTTTGGGCCTTTGATCGAACTTGATCGAGTCTTGTTTCCCTCGTGTTTTCCTTTGGAGCCTCGGTTTCTACGAGACATGACGAACGCTAGCTGGAGCACAGCGAAGAACGGGGATTGTTCCCTGCGGCATGTAGCTGGCATGTAACCGGCAAGGCGCTCAAGACAGTCGTTGGCGAGGGCCGGAATCAGATCCATGGCAATAGGTAATGGGATCAGCGCCCCCATGGATCGTTGTCACTGTCCAGCGCCGGTAGACTTGAAGCATGCTGTGGAATCGAGGTAGATAGTGCAACATGGGTGTGGGCGTGGGCATTGCAGGTTGAAAATCAACGAAAGCAAGGTCTTCTGTGGCGCTGTGGCTGGGGCACTCTGGTCACAGTTCGTGAATCGGAAACCGTATCGAAGATGGCTATTCTAGAACCCAACTGTCAAGGTTGATGATGAGTGGTAAAGGACGAGTGGCTACGTGTGATGTGTGTCCCTTCGTGGCAGCGCCTGTGCTCCGTTCGATTGTGGCCGCCTGCCGTCCGTGACACCCTCATGATGGAAAGTCCAGTAAGGTAAGGTACGGATTACCTCGAAGGTCGAAGTAACCGTAAATGACGAAACGAAGTATCCACGAGTCTCCGTTGGCGCTACCGCGGTGCGTTTCTCCAGCGGCCCAATGCGCGCCAGTCGGCCCCCATGAAATGGAACTGGCATGAAGCGTGCGGGAGTGGAAGAAGAATCCCCCAAGAAGGCAGGATAAGTGCAGGGGTGCGGTGGATATGGCTGCACCTGGCTGGGGTCAGGTAGGTTCCTTCCACACGGAATACGGTTAGGAACTTAGGTGGACCATGGGGAAGAACGACCCACTAATTCCCTAAGGTTGCTACCTTACCTACCTCAAGCAGTGAGGACACGCGCGGGCACATGACGCCCTGCCGTGTGCTGCTAAATCGCCGAGGTTCACATGCGACGACTGAGCGTCATTGCTGCGGTGCGCTTAGCCAAGTAGCTTTCCATCACTCCGCCTCCGTTCCTCTCTGTTTCTTTATTCCTCCGTCCGACGACCCCAACCTCCGACGCACGGCTTACCGTTGACACCTTTTTGTTCACTACTTAAACTATCCCGAGTCCCTTCCCCCACGTTTCGGCAATCTTTTCGCGATCTATCACATCCAACTGTCAATCATATATACCATCTCGACTCATTCTACACCAAGTATCTCTATCCTATAACCACAATGGGTCTCGCCAACGGTACGTGACTCTCCAACAGGATGTCTCGGTCTCGGTCTCAATCGTTCCCAGCACTGACTCTGGCTGCTTTCCTCTAGACAAGTTCCCTTCCTCGGCCGCCTTCGACGCCATCAACGATGCGCTCGGCTCCAGCGAGCCCGACCGCAAGGACGCCATCAAGCAGGGCAACGCCATCTTCGCCTTCACCCTGAAGAACTCTGCCGGCGAGACCGATAGCTGGCACATTGACCTCAAGGAGAAGGGCGCGGTCGCCAAGGGCACCGGCGAGAAGCCCACCGGTATGTCACCCGCGCGTGGAGTGCTTCCCTCTCCAATACAGCCAGTTAATACTAACCTCGACTCAGTCACCCTGTCTCTGTCCGACGCCGACTTTGGCAACCTCGTCCAGGGCAAGGCTAACGCCCAGAAGCTCTTCATGTCCGGCAAGCTCAAGATCAAGGGCGACGTCATGAAGGCCACCAGGATGGAGCCCATCCTGAAGAAGGCCCAGTCCAAGGCCAAGTTGTAAATGTGCGTCGCAATGGATATTGCGTTGTTGGTAATACCCTGTATCATAACCTACCAGTTGGGCCGGCAAGTAGTGCTGGCACCTGGATGCGCGCCAAACGTAGCGTTGCCGTAGGAAATGAGACCATGATCAATCAATAAGCGCTTTGACAGTTATTCGTTGCCGTGAAGCTGACGGGTTATCCATTTGGAAAGTTGCGAGAGAGTCGGTAGTGCTAATTTATCAGTTTATTCATTATGGTGTACGCCGTGGGGAAAGCATGTGATAGCCTCTGAGGCCGACTATCGTAGCGGGACATTGAAGGACGAAAGAATCTCTCGACGTCGGGACTGAACTATGGATATGCCCCCGGAAAAAAAAGGCTGGCACTCTACGAATGTCAGGTTTCTTTTTTTAAACGGACGTCCGATGCGCTTCATAGATCATCATTGTTTCCGTGACTTCGACCGCAACGTCAACGGTGCTGGACCTCAGATGGTGGAAATCCCCGAGTATTGCCGCCCCGAGTCAGGAGGCCCATCAGGGGTCGGAGCACCGGCGCCGCCATCTTCACGTGCATTCCTGGCTCCGGCCGTGGTGAGCCGGATCTAGCCAATAGTTGATTGGGTACTATTGACCGTATGGAGAACAAGCCTGCGGTGACCAGTCGATGCCCTTTATATGCATACCCATGACTTGAAGAGTGCCAGCGAGTAGACATGGCTAGATTTAGGCTGGCTTACCAAAGCAGAAGCTACAGGGTCTCGGTACTTGTGAGTGTCTCGTGAGCCAGGCTGCAGTCCGATATGGGGAACCGTGTTCCCCTGGTTTCAGTGTCGCAGTCGCACCAGCCAGACATACGTCTCTTGGTGCAGACGCAAAAGGGTCAGGAGTGCAGCAGATTCGAAGGTGTATGTTGCAGTCAAGCTGCACACCTGTCTCGTATGGTTGGATACGGGCCACATGGTGTGAGCTGACTCAGCAGACTCGAGGAAAACGCCTGGGCCAGCGAATGCTCCGTCGTACCTACGTTAATTACCTAAGGTTCATTGAGAAGGTACCACTGGGAAGGTACGTAGTGCTACTCATAGCTTCCATTCGTTCGACTGGTTGAAAGCTGGAGGATCGTGACGCGGGACCTGAGGAAAGACCGGGTTCTGGGGAACGCCCTAGGAAAAATTGCAAGCGCCGACCACCAACCAGAAGCGCCCAGTCTCTGTCGCAGTTGCACCTGCCACTTCCTTCGCACTTTAGGTATCCGCAACTTGCGACCAATTGAGGGCGGTGACGCTGGCCTGAGGTTGAGTGACGGCAGAAAGCTGACCCACTCTTTCCCGGCCGTGCTCGCGCCCCCCTGCACTGAGGTGTGGCCTGGTTTTTTTCCCAATAGCTGGCCCCGTCACCCGTCGCCCGGTCGAGCCACACCAAAAATCATCCAGCACCAAAATCTTCCTGTGCTTTTGCCAGCCAGACTACCATCAAAGGCGTGTTGGATGCGCTGTTCAGCATCACTTTCTTGATCGCTGCGCCATCGCGTTTTGTTGCAGTCGAAGCTTCAGCCATCATTGAGCGTTTTTCTCAATCCAATCGCATCTACCCTCAGCAGTTACTTCTCGCAGTTGCGCCTGCTTTCCTTTCCTTGCCCGCCTGGCTTTGTCTGCGAATCCTGCGTGAATCGAGACGCGACTCTCCCCCCGAGACCGAGTCGACCGGCGCAAACCTCATCACCAACGACTAATTATAATCCAGAAATCGATTCTTTGGTCGTCGCACATCATCATGGACCAAAGAAACAGCACCCCGCGGCCCCGTCCGTCGCTCAAATTCGCGAACCGTAGCTACCAAGCTTCGCCTCTGAACCCGAACAAGCGACTCGGCACCCCCAAGACTGCTCCATCGCAGAGAGTCTTGAATCGCGACCCCATGCCATCGAGCAACCTCAACGCGAGCACCATCTCCACCGCGAGCAACCTCTTCCGCTCCTCTACTCTGAGCGCAAGCTCCAACACTACCCCCTTCGCTCCGAGCTTGCCCGCGAGCACCGCCAAGAAAGTCTTCGCGCCCGGCGCGACTCCGGCTTCTCAAAAGGTCTATCGAGAGAACATCGCCCAGGCGACTCCTCGCGGCATGGCAGCCAAATCAACCTCGGCCGATCTCTTCCAGATGCGCATCCCTTCCCCGCCTCCCGAATTGTCTGGCGAAGTCCTCGCGCGAGATATCCCCCCTGAGCTCGAAGCTAAGGGTACCGTGTACGCCGACCAGTACCTCAGCCACTTGGTTCCGGCCGAGTACGACGACTTGCAGCGCCGTCAGCTATTTTGCGTTCTCGATCTTCGCCGCCTGAAATATGCCGCCAACGAGATCTTCACCAAGAAGGATTGGAAGCTCAACATCATGAACTTTGCAAAGGAATTCGAAAAGAGCCGGAGCTTGATTATGCTCAGATATGGCTTGTACGAGTTCAAGAACGTCAAGCCCTCAGAGGAGGTTTTAAAGAAGTGGAGGTCCGCACATGGGTTGCCTGAGCCCGAGGAGGAAGTTGCGGATGCCAGCCCATCCAGGCAGACTACTCGTTCCAAGCGCAAGGCTGAAGACCAGCTGACTCCCAAGGACGCGGCCCTTTCGTCCGCGTCTCCCAATAAGAATAACAAGAGGCGCCTTGTGGACAGAGAGGATGAAGAGCCGGCGACGCCGGCTACGGTCAAGAACAAGAGGAAGGCAACTGTTGAGGATGAGTCGGATGAGAACCAGCCCAGCAAGTTGCAGAAGTCTACCTCGACACCCTCAGCTACCAAGAGCATGTTCGAAAAGATTGCCAACAACCAAGGCCCTTCTTCAACGCCCAAGGCCGCACCTGCCCCTGCCTCCGCCCCCAAGGCTGCGGAAGCCAAGCCCAGCAGCCTCTTCGGAGCGGCGCCCAAGCCCGCCAACAACGACCTGTCGCGCTCTGTTTTCGAGAAACAGCTCAAGCCTGCCCAGGCATCCAACATCTTTGGCTACCTGTCTGATGCCAGTTCGGCAAAGAACAGCGGTGTGGAGGCCGACGCAGAGAGTGAGACTGATTCCGATGACGAGGCGGAACCCAGCGTTGCCGCTAGTGGTGGTGCCGAAACGCCGTTGGGCCAGCCAGCGTCCAACCTCTTTGGTGCTAAGAAGCCTCTATTCTCTGCTGGCGCCGCGACTGCTCCTTCCAGCACTTCGTCCGACGCCCGGGAGACTACGCCCTCCGGGACTAAGAGTCTGTTCGACCGCGTGACTAAGGGCAACAATGGACAGCCTCTCCGCGCGGACTCGGCTGAGCCGGCCCCGGCCCCTGAAAAACCAGCTTTTGCGCCGGCCAAGGAGGCTGCTCCGGCCCCGGTCAACGCCACCTGGAACCCCAACTCCCCGATCAAATTCAATGCCAACCCTGCGCCTAGCAATGGACTTTTCGGTGCGTCCACAAACGGATCGAGCTCCATCTTCGGTGCTAAGCCTACAGCTCCTGCAGCTCCTGCATCCAACTTGTTCGGCGCCCCGAAGCAAGATGAGAAGCCCAAGGCCGAGAAGCGGTCTGCTCCTGAGGAGGACAAGGGCGCGGAGTCCGACAAGGAGAACGACTCACAGCGCCCTTCCAAGTCCCCCTTTGGCGGCTTCTCCGGGTTCCAGTCGAAGCCGTTTGAGGCACCCAAGAAGGACGAGGCAGCTCCCAAGGCGGCTGCTGCGCCGACTTTCGCGTTTGGTGCTTCCGCTCCCAAAGCGGAAGAGCCCAAGCCTGCCGCCCCAGCTTCAAACCTTTTTGGTTCCCAAGACAAGCCTGCGGGCTCCGTCATGCAGTCATCGACACTCTTTGGCGGCAGCAAGCCTCAGGAGACTCCCGCCCCCGAACCGGCTAAACCCCTCTTCGGCGCCAGCACATCGAGCACTTCGACTCCTTTCCAGTCGAACCCTCTCTTTGGTGCCCCGGCACCCGCGTCGAGCACCTCCAACCTTTTCGGTGCTAAGCCCAATGACGAGGGTTCCAAGGCCCCGCAGTTTGCTCCCGCGCCCACTGCGGCTCCTGCCTTCAGCTTCGGCGCCAGCAAGCCGACCGAGTCCGCTGGTTCTCCCTTCGGTGGTAGCCCCATAAAGCAGGATGGCCCACCAGCGAAGAGACAGTTCAACGCACCCGCTCCCTCTGCCCCGGCCGCACCATCTGGTGGCATGTTCAACTTTGGTGGATCCCAGAGTGCAGCCCCAGCTAACCCCTTCGGCGGCGCTGCGCCTGCGCCTCAGACAAACGGCGGCTCTAGCGGTCCTCCAAGCTTCGGCTCTGGCGGAGGTTCATCCTTTACCTTCAGCGCCGGCGGTGGCGGCACGAGCTTCAACAACCCCTTCGCATCTGCTAACGGCGGCGGCTCGGGTTCTGCTCCCGCGCCTTCGGCCGGCGGCATGTTTAACTTTGGTGGCGGCGGATCTTCCGCCCCCTCGAGCAGTTCTACGCCGTTCCAGTTTGGCGGTGGCTCGTCCGCGCCTGCACCTGCGGCGGCAAGCAGCAGTCCCTTCCAGTTTGGAGGCGGCGCTCCCGCTCAGCCTGCTGCCCCTGCTGCTTCGACTCCCACCTTTACCTTCGGTGCCGCTAATGGATCTGCCAGTGCTCAGGCACCTGCGTCTCAGAAGCCGCTCTTTGGAGCGTCAACCCCGGCGCCTACGAGCAACCTCTTTGGCGGTGCCAAGCCTGCCCAGCCTCCCTCTGGTGGTATGTTCGGTAACCTGAACCCCCCCGCGGGTGCCTCTACCACTGGCACTAATTCACCCTTTAACTTTGGTGGTGCCTCCAGCCTAGCTACGACTCCTGCCACTGGCACTCCCGAGCCGACTACGGAAGCCGACAAGGCCGCTGGTGGCGAAGGCGACGATGCTGATGGCAAGCCTCACGAGCAGCTCAAGCTTACTGAGGGTGGCCCTGGCGAAGAAGACGAGGAAGTACTCCACGACGTTCGCGCCAAGATTATGAAGTTCATTCCGGCCGGATCCGAAGAAGACAAGGACAGCGGCGACGATAAGCCCAAGAACAAGAGCCCTTGGTCAACCAAGGGTGTCGGCCCGTTCCGTGTCCTGAAGCACAAGAACACTGGCGCGGTGCGCATGCTGCTGCGCGCGGAGCCTCGCGGGCACGTCGTGCTCAACCGCTCTGTTCTGCCTTCTGAGACATACAAGGCGGACAAGAAGTACGTCAAGCTCACGACCTCGAACGAGACGGGCAACGGCCTCGAGACCTGGATGGTGCAAGTCAAGACGGAGGACTTTGCCAAGGCGCTGGCAAGCGCCCTGGAGACCCATAAGTCTACCAACGCCAAATGAGGTCAATGATGGAAACGCAACTGAAAGGGATTATGGAAGAATGCCATAGCATGTGTTTTTGTTTTTTATTCTCCGTTATTTGGTCTGAGTCTTATACTAGACGGAGAGAAAGTGTATGTCTTGTTTGTCTGTAACAGACATACATGTGATGGAGTGTTGGGGTTTCGCGTAGCGACACAAAAAAGAAAGGTAAGGCATAGCATTGCTCTTTTGGCTCGGCGTTGGGACACTATTTTTGTTATTTTGGTTTTGTTTTTCTTCTTCACTCGTTTCCTCTCGAGGTCCCTGGGGATTATGTGTACTGCGTATCCTCACTAGGAGGGCGGATTTGTGAGGATTGATGGAGAGTGAGGCAGAGGCCGAGGCTCTGAGAGACAGGGCGAGAGGGAGGAGGATCCGAATAAAAAGTACAGTTGTAGAAGTTACATTGGGAGGAATTAGGGAAACGTAGTACATTATCAAGGAAATTGTGTACCCCAGCTTGAAGTTTTATTTCCCCGTGCTTACTGTGAAGTCAAGAATTGTATGTTGTTGGCCAGACTTGATTCCATTCGATTTTCAGCTTTGAAGACTGCTTCCTCTAGAAGTTTGAGACTTGCAAGTCTGCTTCTCATCGATGGTGACGGAGAAAAGCAGCCAGTATGGCCGTCCGTAGATCAAGAGCTCTCTCTGTTGCCGTGTATAGGTGCGTGCTTCGGTGTAAATCGGATAGGCGCGTGCTTGAGAATATGAATTCGAGCGAGCCCGCATTTACTAATATCTCGTTTGATGTTTTCTTTCTTCCTTCTCTAGTTCCGTTTTCCTATTTAAGCATTTCCGTTCCACGAGTTGGATAGCGGACAAACCACATTCTGTCGTGCTGAGCGGTGACGCAGGAAATGAGCAATGATTGATATGTGGACTCTGGACGGCGAGGTTAGGTTAAGTTAAGCCCCCCTTTAAGCGAATGGATGTCACATGTATCATACCCAAGAACTTGACGGAAATGAAAATCAGTATTTTGTATCGTCCGTCTGGCGTGAGGTATTCGATGTGGAATAGGGGTCAAGAGCCGAGAGGTTTGGATAGGAACTGGGGTTAAGTCTGGCCAGTGAGAGTTTGTCTTGGGAGTAGACAAAGTGAGATGGTCTCCTTGGTTCCTTGTCCGATCGTAGACCTCCGGCCACTTCGTCAATCAATGACTCCTCTCCGAGATACAAGAAAAAAGAGCACATGTCTTGCTTGGGGAGCTTACCACAGGATCTCTTGGAGGTATTTTTATACTAAACGACAGCCCCGGCTGGGAATCATCTCATGGCAGAATGCCAAGCACGGTACTTACTTACCTGCCCGGCAAATCATTTCAACGGTACATCTTCCCCAATAGGCACTTCACTAGCTGAATTCCTCTGAATCCCATCGCGTCTTATCAAAAAA